CTTTATCTTTTATTAGACATCTACCTTGTTTTTTCAATATCCCAATATGTGTTTATTTTTTTAAAATACAGAACTTTTTGTTTTTTAATTCTAGGTTATTACTTTATTTTTGAGAGGTTTTTACTAACTTAAATTCACATTTAAGGTATTTTGCCCTTTCCACATCGGCTACCACTTTCTGATTGTGACTCTTCGTTCATAACAAATTTGCTAGTATATTTACATGATCAAACTGTAATGAGAAAGATTTATGTTTAATGTTTCTAAGTTTGTAGATTTCTAAGGAGTAATAATGCAGCTCCAGTAAGTTTCTTATGTAATAATTTAGGGAAATATCTAACCTAGCTAAGCTTTTAAAATAACAATAGAGAAATAAAAATAAGCTTTTCTTGTAAAAGCATGACTTTATCAGTATTTAATTCCTACTGTTTACATGTCTAGCAAAGATCCAAATGGCCTTCCAGTGGCAGAATGGTGAACTTGTAAGATTCATGATGAGAGTCCGTGCCAAGTCCAATTTGATTCTAGAGCAATTATGTTATTAGAACATTGCTGATTGCCCCAGTGCCTATTGTGCAGCTTAACCTTTAAATGCTAGTGATAATTAACTACTTGATCATTCTACCAGGAAACTCCAACACGCAACTCTGTTCTGCAGTAAAATTCACAAATAAAATACTGTTCACGGTGCCTGAAACAGCCGGCTTAAAAAAAAAAAAAAAAAAGCTCTTTGTACGTGTGTGCCAATTAATAAGCATTACCATTCAGTATTAAGTTTTAAGGAAGTATTTTGTCATCGTTTAAAAATCAGTTTTCCTGACTTCGTCCCAGCTTACCCTTCCCCCTTGACATATACACACTACCATATGTAAAATAGCTAGTGGGAAGCAGCTGCATAGCAGCACAGGGAGGTCAGCTCGGTGCTTTGTGCCCGCCTAGAGGGGTGGGGGAGGGAGACGCAAGAGGGAGGGGATATGGGGATGTATGTATGTGTATAGCTGATTCACTTTGTTATACAGCAGAAACTAACACAACATTGTAAAGCAATTATACTCCAGTAAAGATGTCAAAAAAAAATCAGTTTTCCTTTTTGACAGTGAAAATAACATTAAGTGTGTATAGTATCAGTAATCATACATATGTACACACAGTTTTTCTTCTTTTTGTAAAATATCACAGTAGTAGGATGAAGGCATGTGGAAGTAGGTAGAGGATTAAGGTGAAGAAGGGGGCAGAGCTGCCAAGTTGCCAGATCCAAGGAATGCCACGCCTCAGATCCTACTCTGGTTGAACGGTTTCCTGTGGATTTGTTTGGCCAAGAGGCCCTCTGAAAAGGAATGTATCACATGAATTCTGGATTAAGATCGAGGAGTGCCCGATGGGTTGTTCAGTCATTTAAGTTTGAAAAGAATTCTTGGCAGTTCTGTGCCACTCACTGTGCTGGGTGGGTGCCCCCGCCCCCAGGAGCCCACAGCCTGGAGTGGAAAGCACCTTGTAAACAAACAGCTATCAATTGATTGGGAGTGCTCACTCATTGGGTGAACAAAATGTTAAGGGAACAAAGAGTGATTAATTCTGCCTGACAGTGTCAGAGAGCTTTGAACAGTGACGTTTAGAGCTGGTCCTTAAGAATGGTGAGGGAGGATTTCAAAAGGAAGATACTGAGGGAAAGGGCATTCTTGAAAGCCAGGAAAAAAGGCTGCCAATGCAATGAAAATAGATGGCGCACCAGGGAGCAACAAGCCCAGAGCTCTGAGACAAGGCCCAGGCCCTGGATTGGGGCAGGGAGTGAAGGGCTTTGGAAAACAGCTGTGCTCAGAAGTTTGGTCTTTTTTTCCTATGGACCATGGGACACCATTTGTCATTTTTAAGGAAGGGTGAGAATCTCTGTTTGGGAACTGAATCCCAGAAATGTGGAGGATAGACTGGACAGGGGAGAAACTAGATACAGGCTCTGGCATTAAATATGTTAGGTAGTAGCTCACAGATGGTGTTTGTGTGCATGATTTCAAAGAGGTAATGGTTGTAAAAACTTGATCGCATTGGATCATGGTAGGAAAGCAAAGCAGAAGCATTGACTCAAGTCTTATGGCTTGGGGATGAGGATTGGAACTCAGCGGACATATGTGAAAGTCAAGAAGCAATCAATGCACTTTTTTAAATTGTTTGGCTTCTGGTGCTTTGCTTCAATATTCAGCCTTAGTGAATAACACCTGCCATCTTTCCTGCCACCAAATATAAGAGTGTATGTTTGAGTAGGGATAGTCAGAGGGCTTGGTGCCTACATTAAAGGGACTGATACAGGAAGGAAGCATTTGGGGTTTTCCAACCTCTCTCAGTGGGAACTCACTGATCCTTCTCAGTCTTCCTCCTCCTCCAGACTCCCACCCTGCAGCCCTCCCTGCCTTTGGAGCTAGAGGAGGAGTTGCCATCACCACAGCTGACCACTAGGGGGTGATCTTTTGGCAGCTATACCGACAAAGGGGTGGAAAAAAGGCTGTTAATTATCGCTAACAGACTAATAAGGTAAAGAAAAAAAAAATACAAGGAGTAAATTTTTTTTTTTTTTTTT